GAAGTTAAGGTCCAGCGTCGACTGCCACACCAAGGATTGCTCGATGATGATTCGGAGTGTTGCTATCTGATCTGTACATGACATGTCTTTCCTGAAGCTGGCTTGGTCTGGTCTAAGTTTTTCTTCCACTGCGTCTTTCAGCCGATCAAGGATAATGCGGGTTAGTACTTTGCTCAGTACTGACAGTAGCATGATGCCGCGCCAGTTCTTGCAGGATCCTAGGTCTCCTTTCTTGGGAAGTTTTACCATGTGCCCTTTTTTCCAGTCTGCTGGTACTCTTCCTTCCCTCCAAACCTTCTGCAGTAGAGGTAGCAGCATGTTGGCTGTGGTTGGAAGGTCTGCCTTGAGCGCCTCTGGGGGAATTCCATCTGGGCCGGCTGCTTTCCCATTTTTTAAGATCTTCAAGGCTTTTAGGATTTCCGCTTTCGTGGGAGGGTTGGTGTTGACTTTGAGTGGTGTGTCTGCAGGGGGGATGTCTGGTCTCACTGAGGGCAGGGGTTGATTTAGGAGTTCTTTAAAGTGCTCAACCCATCGTTGTCTCTGGTCTTGCTCTTTACTGATGGGGTTTCCTCCTCTGTCTTTAACCGGCTTGTTCACATTTGTCTTCTTAGTTGAGAGAGTCTTAGTGACCTTGTACAGAGTACTAAGGTCTCTCTTTCCTGCTGCCTGTTCTGCCTCTGTTGCTAGCGCATCATAAAAGAGTCTCTTGTCCTTTCTGGCACTATTCTTAACTTTCCTGTTCACTTGGGTAAATTTATCTCGAAGAACTTTCTTTTCCTCTTCGTTCTTGTTGCTGGAAGGCCATGTAGTATTATAATCTAAATCATAAATATGACCTTGTAATCAACACAGAAATGTGCACGGATCCAGGTAGAGAGAATAAAGCCAGACTGCAGACTGAGGTATTCTTGCTTTCTGGTTTTCTGGGTTATGTATGGAAGTGAATAGAAATGCTAATGTCATGGGATAATTATTGCAACAATTGGAAAACAAGACCACTGTATGTGAACATTTGAAAGGGTCCTTTCAGGTAACCGCAGAACATTTGAAATAAGACAGATGTCTAATATGTGAGCTCCTTACTGCTTAGTAGAAGGAATTTAAGGCTCCCTGCTGTGGCAGTACAGTGAAGCAGAATTAAATATGTAGCACAGTGATAAATAACATGCAGACCTTTGTAAATAATCTCCCAGTGGTTATTAATGTAGAAATAACTGCCTTCCAGC